CGCAACCTGTCCACCGAGGCCCTGAAGGGGCTGAAGATCGACACGCAGCTGCAAGCCAAAAAGCTGAAGCGGGGCCCGCTCTCTGCTCACTCCGTCCCTGCCAGAGTGACCGCTCCCATCATCAGCGGCCGTCCCGAGAGAGCCTCCTCAGGCGGTGAGTACGGCAGGGAGGGAAGCAACGGGAAACCCAAAGCCGTGCCTGCCTTCACCCCGTTGCCCCCAGCCAGCCCCCTGCAGCCTCTCACTGACCCTTTCTCCTTCCCAGGGGCCTACATGCTGCAGAAACTCATTGAGGAGACGGACAAGTTCGTGGTCTGTACGGAGGAGGAGTCGGGGGCTAGCGAGCAGCTGTGCGGCATCGCCGCCTGCCAAACCGACGACATCTACAACCGCAACTGCCTCATCGAGCTAGTCAACTGCCAGGTACCTGCCCTCAGCAAGCCCGCCTGTCCCCACGCTCTCCGCTCCCCACGGCCTTGCTGCGAGAGGGGCCATGCCTGGCCCCGAAGGGCTCGTCTGACCCCCAGGGTCTCTCCCCCCGCAGATGGTGCTGCGCGGTGCGGAAACAGAGGGCTGCGTGATTGTGTCCGCCGCAAAGGCCCAGCTGCTGCAGTGCCAGCACCACCCCGCCTGGTACGGGGACACGCTGAAGCAGAAGACGTCCTGGACCTGCTTGCTGGACGGCATGCAGTACTTTGCCACGACGGAGAGCGGCCCGACCGAGAGGGAGCATGGGCAGCTCTGGCTGGAGGTGAGCAGCTCAGGGAGGCTGTGATGGGTGAGCTGCATGGGGTACAGGCAGTGCTGCCGGTGCCCTGGCCAAGGCAGGGAGAGCAGGGACAGCCAGTGGTGCCTCCTTGTGTCCCCAGGTGAAAAATATTGAGGAGCATCGGCAACGGAGCCTGGACTCGGTGCAGGAGCTGATGGAGAGCGGGCAGGCGGTGGGGGGCATGGTCAGCACCACCACAGGTACTGCCCGCAGAGCTGGCTGCTGTGCCTACCCCAATCCCGCTGGTGTGTGACCCCAAAGCTGGTGAAGCTGAGAGCACCTGGCCTGTCCCCAGACAGCTCCAGGAGCTGACCAATGCTCTGATTCCTGGACTGTGGGGTCCCCAACATGCCGGGCCATGGCGCTCTGACCGTGGTCCCCCTGCCTGTCCCCAGACTGGAACCAGCCCTCAGAAGCTCAGCAGACCCAGCAGGTGCAGAGGATCATCTCTCGCTGCAGCTGCCGCATGTACTATATCAGCTACAGCCATGACATTGACCCTGAGCTGGCTACGCAGATAAAGCCCCCCGAGACTCCTGCCAACCAGGAGAAGGAGGATCTGCTGAAGAAGCAGGAGGGTGGGTACATCCAGGCAGCGTGTCTCAGGGGGTAGAGCTCTGGGCTGACCCACAGGTGCCGGCTAAGTCCAGGGATGGTCTGTCTTGGCCCTGCTGAGATCAGAGGGATGCATACAGGAGGGGTCCCCAGCCACGTGGTGGTGCACCAGATGATGCTGGACATGCTGTGCTTGCTGGAGCCAGCGTAACCACCTTGGCTCATTTCCCATCCATCTCTGGCTGGCCCCCACATGCATCCTGTTTCTGGCCATGCTGAGGCCCCACTTGCCCTTTGTGTGTTCCTGCAGGAGCTGTGGACACGTTCACACTGATCCACCACGACCTGGAGATCTCCACCAACCCCGCTCAGTATGCCATGATCCTTGACATAGTCAACAACCTGCTGCTGCACGTGGAGCCCAAACGCAAGGTACCCGTGAAGCTTCAGGTCACCGTGTCACTCGCTGCGCCCAGGGCAATCCTAACCTTCCCCTATCCCTGTGTCCAGGAGCACAGTGAGAAGAAACAACGGGTGCGCTTCCAGCTGGAAATCTCCAGCAACCCCGAGGAGCAGCGCAGCAGTATCCTACACCTGCAAGAGGCCGTGAGGCAGCACGTCGCCCAGATCCGGCAGCTGGAGAAGCAGATGTACTCCAACGTGAAGGTGAGCCTGCATCCCAGCAGGGCCTGGCTCCCTGGGGTCCCTGCTCCGGGGCAGAGGGTGCTGAGGGTTGTCTGTCCTTCAGTCCCTGCAGGATGACAGCAAAAATGAGAGCCTGCTTGACCTCAACCACAGGCTGCAGCAGCAGCTGAGCCAGGAGAAAGCTGACCTGCAGCTGGAGAGTGAGGAGCTGAACATACTGATCAGGTAGGGGCCATCTCGGGCTTCTCTAGCGTTGTGTCCCCCTTACTCCAGGGCTCCCACATCCCAGCGCTCCCCTCTCTCTTGCAGGTGCTTCAAGGACTTCCAGCTGCAGCGAGCCAACAAGATGGAACTGCGAAAGCAGCCGGAAGACGTGAGCGTGGCGCGGCGGACCGAATTCTACTTCGCCCAGGCACGCTGGCGCCTGACTGAGGAGGATGGGCAGCTGGGCATAGCCGAGCTGGAGCTCCAACGCTTCCCCTACAGCAAGGTACCGAGCCGGCTGGTGGCACCTGCAGCTCCCGAGCCAGGGCCCAGGACGTGCGGGACTGACGGGTCTGTGTGCGCAGGTCAACAAGTCTGACGACACGGCCGAGCATCTGCTAGAACTGGGCTGGGTCACGATGAACAACCTCCTGCCCAACGCTGTGTACAAGGCAAGCAGCAGCCTGGGGACCCATGGGTGGCCTGGCCAGGGTGGCCTGTCCTCACCCCAGCCACCCATCCTCTTCCCTGCAGCTCGTCCCGAGTGCCCTTTTTTTTTGCAAGGTCCGGCCGCCCGTGGGAGGCATCTCCATCAAGGAGCACTTCGAGGTGCCGGCGCCGGGGTGGGAGGTAGCAGGGTCCCCACGGGGCGCGGGCAGCATGTGCCCGGCTCTGACATGCCTCTCTCCCCGCAGGTGAACGTGGTACCCCTCACCATCCAGCTCACCCACCAGTTCTTCCACAGGATGATGGGTTTCTTCTTCCCTGGCCGCAACGTGGAAGAGGAAGAGGTGGGGGATGAGGAAGACAAGTCCAAGCTGGTGACAACAGGTGAGAGGCTCATGGTCACCCTCCTCCCTGGCACCTGAGCGATGTCCTTGAGCAGCTCTGGCTGTGTGTCCAGGATATGTTTGTGGGCAGCTGCTGGCGGGCCACATGTCGAGGAATAGGGACTCATGGTGTCCCCTGTGGGCAAAGAGCCGGTGGGGAAAGCAGCAAAGCTGGGAGAGGTCTGGGTCACGGCTAACCCCCAGCCGGACACCAGCCACCGTCTCCCACCCTGTTTGTCCCAGGGATCCCTGTGGTGAAACCGCGGCAGCTGATCGTGGCCGATGACTCGCTGGGCCCAGGGAAGGGAGTCGCTCAGGGACTGAATCGGACGTCAGGGGTCAGAAGATCATTCCGAAAAGCACCTGAGGTACCTGCTGCTGCCTTGAGGGGGGAATCTGGGACAGCCCTGCTGTGGAGCCAGTCTGTTTTCCCTCTGCTGCAGGGCTGGGCAGCCATGTCCTCCCCCGCTTGCCTGTCCGTTTTCTCCTGCTCCCTCCCACCATGACAATTTGCATCCTTTACAACCAAGCGCCCGCACGCTTTATGTGATCCCTCCAGCATCTCATTTTCCTAACACCATGCCAGAGCAGCTCTCACCTCTCCCCGGTGAAGCAATGCTATGGCCTAGTGCCCGGCTGTCCCTTCCCCGCTGGTTCCTGGCTGTGTCACCTCTCCTTCCCTTCTGCTCATGGCTCCTGCTCTGTCCCCAGCATCCCGTGGATGACATCGACAAGATGAAGGAGCGCGCAGCCATGAACAACTCCTTCATCTACATCAAGATCCCGCAGGTGCCGCTCTGCGTCAGCTACAAGGTGCGGGTCCGGTGGGAAGGGGCATGCTGGGGAGGGGGCACAGCCCCTCCAGCTGGGAGGTGGCCTGGGGCATTGTCCCACGCTGCCTGACACGCCTGTCACCCAGGGCGAGAAGAACAGCGTGGATTGGGGCGACCTGAACCTGGTGCTGCCGTGCCTGGAGTACCACAACAACACGTGGACGTGGCTGGACTTCGCCATGGCAGTAAAGAGGGACAGCCGCAAAGCCTTGGTGGCACAGGTACGTGGGATCCCATCCTGCGGTACCTCCTTCCCGCTCGCAGGGAGGCTGCTGGAGCCGCTCTGCCCAGGACAGAGGTG